ATAATAGCTCTCTTTTTATAACAGTGTGTGTATTTTTCTAGCGTATCTTTATATTATTTTTATATATATATATATATATATATATATATATATATATATATATATACACACACTCGTTTAATTTAAATTTAATTTCTTTAATATTTTTTCAAGCAAAATATATAAAAGGTGATATTTGATTATATTACAATAGACATTTTTTCCTAATATATACAATCTTTATTTTATGTACTAATTAAAATGCAATTTTTTAAAAATCCAACAAATTATACAATAGCTAAGATTTTATTATTGTGGTTGGTTTTTCTAATGTACACTAATTATTTAATTTATTATATATGTACTAATTATTGTATTTAAATTTCATTTATTATTTTTTTCAAGCAAAATATATAATAGCTACTATTTAATTGCTTTTGATTTTCTTCCTAATATATGAGACCACAAAACCAGTCTTAATTAGCACGGATATATTTATAGCAATAGCCAAAAATACATTGTATAGGTTTAAAATTATCTATTTTTTTATGCCTAAAATCATTAGGACATTAAGTAAAGGTAATGTTTCATAAAGATATGTTGTAAATTTCCTACTCTAAATATATTAAAACTTAATTTATGATTAGTAATATGCATTGCTAAGAACTTCATTTGGACAACTTTAAAGGCGATTTTCTCAATATGTAGATTTTTTTGCACCTTCAGATTCCAGATTTTCAAATAGTTGTATCTCTGCCAAATATTGTCCTATCCTAACAAACCATACATCAATGGAAAGCTTATTTATTCAGCTTTCAGACGATGTACAAATCTCAAGTTTGGAAAATTGACTGGTTTTGTGGTTCAGGGTCACATATACAAACTTATTTAATTTACTTTATTACGTACTAATTAAAATTTTATTTAAAAAAATCAAACAAAATATACAGAAGCTAATATTTCATTATAGTGGTTGTTTTGTCTAATGCACACTAATTATTTTATTTATATTTAATTTATTAAATATTTTTTTCAAGCAACATATATATTAGCAACTATTTGAATGCATTTGATGTCTTTCATAATATATACGAACTTACTTATTATGTACTAATATTTTAGATTTTAATTTAATTTATTACTTTATTATTTAAATTTAATCTATTACTGCCAACAGTTACAATGATGAACGTGAATGTTGAAAAATAAGCTCCAAGGATATGTGACTGTGATCTGAATGTCTTTGTGAGGCTGGTAATAGGCCGTTCTAACCTCTTTTCTATGGAGATGTAGGTTGTGCTTGGGTGCCGCATGTTGCTCGCAAGTCTGTATAATGTTCTGAACAGAGC